TACTTAATCATGGTATAATTGTTTAGATTTTCCTTATTTTATAATTCTAAGAGTAAAGTAATTTCTAATACAAATATAAATGAAATGTTAAAATAAAATGAAATGTTCGGATCTTAAACATTTGTTTTGATGAGTTTTGACAATTTTAGACAGCATGTCTAAACATAGGGGTAGCAAACGCCCTACATAAGTCCTGAACATTTTCATTCCCTCAGAAAATTCCCTAATATACCCTTTAGTCAGTTCCCTAAACACTGCTCCCAACAAACACTGACTCTTTTCTAATACCATAGATTACTTTTGCTTGTATTTGGATGTCATATACATAGATTCATATAGTATGCACTCTTTATTTGGAAATTCTTCATTTGCATAAAGTTTTAAAGATATTTTCAAGTTGTGTGTTAATTTACTATTTTTTTACACTTGAGTATTTTCAATTTTAAGAATATATTCCAATTTGGATTATTCTAGAAGTTGGTTATTATGAATAATGTTGCTATACCTATTGTTGCACAAATTTATTTTGTGAATATTTGTTTTAATTTTTATTGGATGAATACATAGGTTTAAAATTTCATATGGAGTATATATATATTTACCTGTGTAAGAGCCAGAATAGAGAGTTAAGAGTCCTCTATATTTTCATGAAAATTTAGTGTTTCATTTTTTATTTGAGCAATTCCAGTAAGTCTATAAGTGGTATCTCATTGTGATTTGAATTTGCATTATTGAGAACCTTTATTTTCTATATATCTTCTCTTATGAAGTGTCTTTTCAAGTCTTTTGCCTACAAATCTGTAGAATATATAGAAATTTTTATATACCCTGGATCTAAACAATTTCCCAGGTATGTGTGTTGCAAAATTTTTAAAAAATATGTTGCTTGCCTCTACATTTTCTTAGATTGAAAGAATAAGCATTTTAATTTAAAGTTCAATTTATCAATTTTTCTTTTACTAATGCTTTTTGTGTTCTGTCCAAAAAAATTTTCCCTATTAAGGTTATATTAATATTTTCTAGAAGCTCTATATTACATTCACGACCATCTCAGATTAATTTTTGTGTATGGCATATGATGGGTTAAGGTTTATGCTTTTCATATGGATATTTCTTTCAGCAATGTTTATTAAAAAGGACTTTCCTTTGCCCATTATATTGACATGGAGCCTTTGTTGAAAATCAATTGACTGTGTGTTTGTGCCTATAGTTCTGGTTTAAATTTATTTAGTACTATATTCTTTTGATTATTATTGCTTTATAGTAACTCTTGAAGTCAGGTACTATAAATTCTCCAACTTTGTTCTTAATTTCAATTGGTTGGTTGTTCTAGATCCTTCATATTTCAATATAATTTTATAATCTATTCCTTCAGAGTGGATAAGGACATTCTATTTCTTCACAAAGAACTTGCTGAAATTTTGAATGGGGTTGCATTACTTCTTTATATAAATTTGAGAAAAAACTAAAATTTCTGATCCATGAACATGATATATTGCTGCTTTTTTTGGCTTTATTCAGCAGTGCTTTACAGGTTTCAGTATAAAGACATTACACAGATTTCACTGTTTTTATTCCTGGGTATTTGTTGTTTTTTTGATACTATTGTAAAAGCTTTAAAAAATTTTGGTGGGGGAGTACAGCTAACATACAGAAATAAATGTAAACATATATATTGAGCTTGCATCCTATAGTCTTCCCAAATTCACTTATTATTACTTATGTTGTATACAGACTCTTTTGATTTCTTTTGCTATAAAGAGAAACTTAAATTTCTCTTCTCCCTTTGTCCCTCAATCCATTTCCCGTGTTCTTGCTCCCACAAGCGTCACTATCACCAGATTCATTTTTATCATTACAGAAAGAATCCACGAATATACAAGCACAAAAATATTACAGTATATACTACATGTAGCTCTCCACTCGGTGGTCCCCCATCCCACCTTTCTGGGAGGATCAAATTTGTACTATTAAACACATTAAAGCAGGAAAGTAAATTTCCAAATACTATACTTGTTTGTTTTCTCCATATTTATAATACCAAAGGAAAAAAAAAAGAAATACTGCTCCAATGCTATTTAACAATTTGAATTAATGGAAAACTCTTCAATATTGTGAGCATTTTATATAAATTATTCTGAAGTATTATAATGTGGAATTATATATGTTTTGTTCTACAATTAGGTTTCTGAGCCAGTGATTTTCAATCTTGGCTGTTCATTGGAATCACCCAGCTAGCTTAATAAAAATAGTGATGTCTGGATTCCACCCCAGAGGGTCAGATTTTATTGCTGTGGGATGACTGGGCAAAGGGATTTTAAAAAGATCCCCAGGTGATTTTAATATGCTGTTTCAAACCTTGCTTAGACAGTTTCCTATTAATATACATATATGTATATTTATATAAACATTTACAAATTTTATGTATATATAGCATATATGTATGATGTTATATATGTGTATATATACATATGTGTAAATGTATCATGTATTATACAATTTATATATATAATTTATATATCTATAAATAAAAGACATATAAATTATATATGTATTATTATCTGTATCTTGTCAATGGATATTTTAAGTGCAAAATGAGTCTATATAGTTTATATTTGAAATTTTTATAAGTAATTTAATGGATCAAAAAATTTAGTAACTTAGAAATATAAAATCTAAATAACCTTATATAAGGCAGTTAACGTTTCTGCATTACTATTTCTGCCTTCCCCAAATGGAAATCTTAGCAATGAACTGTAACTTGTTCTTGTTAAGAAATAAATGCAGGTTTCTTTCAAATACAAAATATGATGCAAATGTTTAAACATTGCAAAAAAGTACAAATAGGATTTAAGGGGAGAAAAACACTCATATGGAAAAACACTTATTGTATTGATACTCAGTACCAGTTTTTAACCTTTCTTAGACTTGGGAAATTGCTTGGGGCCATTGACACAAGTAACATGGTCTATTTGTCAGATCCAGTCTGATCTTCTTATATTCTTATATCCTAATAATTTAAAACAATATTTAAAATAATGCAAGCAACACATGAAAAGTAATAAATAAAACTAATGTTGCACATAGAAGAGTACATTTTACTTATCAAAATGAAATAACATTTACATAGTTCAGTACCAAACCTATTTTCGGTGGTCATTATTTAAATTCCAATCATCTAATACATTTCTTGATTGACTACAAAGTGCAGAATGCTCTATTAGAACTTCTGCAGATTATAGTCCAACTTTTAAATCTAAAGTTATGTATAATGTAGGCAAAGGGGATATATTATAAAACACAGCACTCAACACAGTGACACAAGAAAGGTTCTGAGTAATCATTAGAAGATGGGTAGGAAGTAAGGAGAAGGGTAGGGGAAAGAGGAAAGGAAATTAAGTACACATATATTTTCATTATATACATTTTCATTATATGTACATACTAATATATATATTAGTGGAAAGGAACATTTGAAGTCTATCATGAGCATATCTACAAAAATGTCAAATGTTTCTAGGGCAGGATCTGCATATAAAATTTCTCTTTTACTATAAAAAACCTTTGTAAGATTGCAGAAATTACTTATACTCTTTGAAACTTATTTTCCTAATTTATTTAAATGCATGTAATAATGTTTCTTAGAGATGTTGTTATGAAGATCAAGTATGATCATGTTTATGAAAATGTTTAGCTAAAGGTGGGCTGGACCCTTCATAAATGCTCATTGTTTAATTTTCATAATTATACCCAAATCACTTTTACTTTCAAAATCTTAGTTGAATCTGAATTTTATGAGATACATTTTGAAGTATAGAATAGAAACCACTACCAAATATCTTATATTCTCCTTTAGTTCATTTATTGTAACAGTCTTGGTTGTTAAACATGTTACTGTCCATCTCTAATACAGCTGAGAATAAAGAGTTGATCTATATATATGAAGGGGAAATGTGTCCTAAATTGTACAGTGACATTTATAATTTAATTATTTTTATGTTATTAAATTTACACCATCTTAATGTATTAGACCCTTAGTACACAGTTTGTTTCATAGACCAAGGACAATGTTATTCCTAGAGAATTTATGAAAAATCCAGATTTACTCAATCACGATCTCCATTTCAGCCAAACTCCCAAGCAATTTATATGTATGTACATTAAAGTTTAAGAGCACTGCTTTCAATTACATAGTTAGATATTACTCTTGTAGAGATTTTAAACTATATGACCTAAACTTTAAATAAATAAATTATTATTGTATGCATTCTGATTCTGGCCAATATGGACACAGATTTGATGTAAAGAGAACTAAGTCAGGAAGAAAAAGCACACTTTATATATTTATATATCTTATGCCATTTAATTATATTTAAAATTCATCAAGTTCCTAAACTTTAGAGTCTGTTCTGTCATTTATAAAATAAAAGTCAAATTAGAACCTTTCCTGGTACTCAGTGGGATTGCTTAGAAGTTCCAGTGAGGTGGACCTTTATTCATTTTCAAGATCTTTAAAAGTTAGACTCTCTTATAACCTGTGAGTTTGAATCAGCTGACCATAAGGAGATAATGAGTAATAACTTCTTAAGGAGGAAAACAAGGTGATGACCTGAGTTTGATTAATAACCTTTCTTTTTTGCCATTTTATAGCAGAAATAGAAAGTGGCTTGGGGAGGAGTAGCCTCATAAGAAGGGCAGTTGGGGATAATTTTGACCGTTTTTTAATTGATTGATTTGTGTTGACTTTGCATGGGTGGCTCTAATCAATTGTTTTATAGTTAGCTTATGATGAAATCATGGGCAATAATGACCTAAAACAAGACAGAAGGATGAACTTTATTCATTTACTTCCTTCAGTTTTTATGAGATGCATCTCAAGTAGTAACTGAATCAAGTTTTGAGGTTCTGTAATAGGCCCTGGATGTGGCACGGCAGTGAGGGTATCATGAGGATGTCCACGTGGAAGTCAACAGTGCAAACTCGGGTTCTTTCCATTACAGAGAAAAAGACTTGTGGGCCTCATGAATTCCAGTGTAAAAACAACAACTGTATTCCAGATCACTGGAGGTGTGACAGCCAAAATGACTGCAGTGACAATTCAGATGAAGAAAACTGTAGTAAGTAACTCTTCCTTGAGAATATTGTGAGCTTGGCAGCCTATTCAATAAGCAGGATAGCGATTTTTAGGTCAGTTACTGTATAATTTTGAGACTGTCTGTCCTGCAGTTCACATTTTTATACATATATTCACATTTGGAAAGAATATTCAGACTAAATTGACCTGAATCTCAAATGGTAGAATTATTGAAATGCTCATACTGGGAGTTATTTTCTTACAGTTATCAGAATTGGTAAGAAAGTATCATGAGATTTAATGCAACCCATTAGTATGCAATGAAGAAAGCCCTTGATACAAGTTCGTACAAAGAGCTGAATGAGGTGGAGACAGTGCAAAACATATCATTCTTTAACGGATGGTATTCATTTCATTTCAGTCTCAAATCCTTTTACACTACAAATTCACCCCTGAGCATCTTTCAGTGAAATATCATTTATTCTCCCTGGAGTGGTGAACACCATATGTATTCAGGATGCTTTTCTCTGAAAATAGAATAACACTATTAACATCAGCTGCTTCCTGCATTTTTATGTAATAAATTTTAAAAAACAGTAATTATCCAACAATTTTACTTTCTTAAAGTATGGCAGTATATAAAATTGTGACAGTATTTCTACATTCTAGCATTGATTTCTGAATATATTTCTTCCTGACACTTTCTTACACTGCTGTTTAAATAAAGGAAGCAATATTATCATCTTTAAAATAGGATAATAATCAAATTTCATTTATTAAATATTTATATTCTACCACTTCCAAAAAGGATTTGATGGTAACAATAATGTTTACTCTTATGTATTGGATTAAGAACATTCATTTCCCAAGACACGGGAGACAAAATAGAAATTGTTATATTAAAGCAGAGGGATATACTATATAAAAGCAAACATTCCTAAAATCCCAGCCTTTATAAACCACTTGGATATTCAGTTTGTAAAATATCAACTAATGCTCTGAATAACTTTCAAAACTTAATCTGACTCATGTTTGAGGATCAGGTATATTTTAAGTACGAAATCTCTGGATGATTATAATTATGGAATACTGTCTTGCCAATGGGTTTCAGCCCCAGGCAAGTTCACTATGGATTCAGTGAGACCCAGAAATGACAACAGAACATTCTTGGGGTAAAACTGTTTGTTACTCAGCTTTACTCTCCTGGCAATAGGCGGAGCACTTAGAATCACATCTGCATCCAACAGTCTGCAGGTCTGTAATCCTCCTTTGTCTCTGCCTCCACCCAAAACCCTGGGCAGAGCTCTTCATATAGTGACTCAGTCAGTAACAGCTTATTGCCTACGGGTGTGAAAACAGTAGCCTTGCAGCAGGCCAGTTACATCATCAGGTAGTTTAGGTTCCGGTGAGGGTCCTGGTTATAGGAACTTCAATTTTTGCCCCAAGTACTCTGAACATGGGGACCTTCATTAATCGCTCTTCACATAGATCTCTCCCACTGGATCAAAATCTTTAGAAAGGTGAAGAACATTGCAGAAAGGCATTAGAGTGACATAGGTTCCTTTAATCAGTAATTAAAAAAACTTTTCAGAGCATGTTCTCAGATTCTATCCAGCGATTAAAATAAAAACCTAATAGGGTAAGGGTGGTGGGAATAGAAGAGTTAAATACAAAGAAGAAACAATTATGTATACACTTCCTATTTATTTCAATTATGTATGTACTTTCTGTGTATTTCAGAGCTTAAATATACAGATAACCACTTAAGTTAATTTTGGATACATATAGTGCTAATTATCGTAAGGTAGGAAATACCCTATAATTGAAGGAAATTGCAAACAAGAAAGGATAGGTGAAAAGACAACATTGAAGGCTTAATCTTGAAAAATCCTCATATTCAAGTGGTAATTTAAATTGTGTGAGAAGTTAGGTTACTGCTTTAATAAGAATAGAAAACTGAGGGGTTGAGATAGCCTGCTGCTGAATCTTCTGGGGTCTTCTAAATCACTGAGTATTATTTCACGGACATCCCCTAAGTCAGCCTTTGATACAAGAAAGCAGGAAGAAGGACACTGCCTCTCAGCCTGTCACCGTGGAAACTTGTTGATAAATCACTGTTAAGCCATAGAACCCTTAAGCAAAAGCGAGAGAAGTGGCTGCACGATCAAGCATTACAGTATAAAAGCCCCAATTATGTGTGGTTCTCTTTTAGTTCCCATTCATTCTGACCTTGTGGCCTAAGACAAATAATTTTGATAATTTTGCAGAGGAGAGATAATAGTGAACAAGAATGAAGCGTATTTTAGTTGTGACACGGAAGAATAGAAAGCACACATGGGACAAGCATCAGAGTTGGTAACATGTTAAACATGTACTATGTAAGAGAAAGGACAAAAGGATCTAGATAATTAAGTGGTGTTTGAAGATAACATCTTGAATAGTCTGGAAGAAATGGCAGGTTTAAACATTGAAAATGCCAGCGGTTCTGCACAGACAAAAACTGAGTCTATGAACAGTGAAAAAAAATACATTGTATCTCTGGGAAGAACCAAAAAATAAGTCATATAAAAGATAGTCTTAGAAGAAATACTGTTGCTGTATTAAAATGCTATTAATATATTTCAAATGTCTTATAATCTATTGAAACATATGCATGTCGTTTTAATAGAACTATATATCATTATATACATATAATTACAATGTATATTGTACCTACGATTATACATCATGTAATTAAATGTGTGTGTGTGTGTGTGTGTGTGTGTGTGTGTGTGTGTATGACAATAATATAACCAAAAGGGCAGTGGTATATTGTTATATTCTCTAAATATCGTATCAATGGTATGCATTTTGGCTCACATTTGGCAGTTATCATTAGCTATTATGAAGCAGTGAAATATACCGGAGATAGTAAATCAGCCTTATAGTTAAAAACAACGGCAACATTTTATTTTTTACATGAACTCTGGATGATTATAATTATGGAATACTGTCTTGCCAATGGGTTTCAGCCCCAGGCAAGTTCACTATGGATTCAGTGAGACCCAGAAATGACAACAGAACATTCTTGGGGTAAAACTGTTTGTTACTCAGCTTTACTCTCCTGGCAATAGGCGGAGCACTTAGAATCACATCTGCATCCAACAGTCTGCAGGTCTGTAATCCTCCTTTGTCTTTGCCTCCACCCAAAACCCTGGGCAGAGCTCTTCATATAGTGACTCAGTCAGTAACAGCTTATTGCCTACGGGTGTGAAAACAGTAGCCTTGCAGCAGGCCAGTTACATCATCAGGTAGTTTAGGTTCCGGTGAGGGTCCTGGTTATAGGAACTTCAATTTTTGCCCCAAGTACTCTGAACATGGGGACCTTCATTAATCGCTCTTCACATAGATCTCTCCCACTGGATCAAAATCTTTAGAAAGGTGAAGAACATTGCAGAAAGGCATTAGAGTGACATAGGTTCCTTTAATCAGTAATTAAAAAAAATTTTCAGAGCATGTTCTCAGATTTTATCCAGCGATTAAAATAAAAACCTAATAGGGTAAGGGTGGTGGGAATAGAAGAGTTAAATACAAAGAAGAAATAATTATGTATACACTTCCTATTTATTTCAATTATGTATGTACTTTCTGTGTATTTCAGAGCTTAAATATACAGATAACCACTTAAGTTAATTTTGGATACATATAGTGCTAATTATCATAAGGTAGGAAATACCCTATAATTGAAGGAAATTGCAAACAAGAAAGGATAGGTGAAAAGACAACATTGAAGGCTTAATCTTGAAAAATCCTCATATTCAAGTGGTAATTTAAATTGTGTGAGAAGTTAGGTTACTGCTTTAATAAGAATAGAAAACTGAGGGGTTGAGATAGCCTGCTGCTGAATCTTCTGGGGTCTTCTAAATCACTGAGTATTATTTCACGGACATCCCCTAAGTCAGCCTTTGATACAAGAAAGCAGGAAGAAGGACACTGCCTCTCAGCCTGTCACCGTGGAAACTTGTTGATAAATCACTGTTAAGCCATAGAACCCTTAAGCAAAAGCGAGAGAAGTGGCTGCACGATCAAGCATTACAGTATAAAAGCCCCAATTATGTGTGGTTCTCTTTTAGTTCCCATTCATTCTGACCTTGTGGCCTAAGACAAATAATTTTGATAATTTTGCAGAGGAGAGATAATAGTGAACAAGAATGAAGCGTATTTTAGTTGTGACACGGAAGAATAGAAAGCACACATGGGACAAGCATCAGAGTTGGTAACATGTTAAACATGTACTATGTAAGAGAAAGGACAAAAGGATCTAGATAATTAAGTGGTGTTTGAAGATAACATCTTGAATAGTCTGGAAGAAATGGCAGGTTTAAACATTGAAAATGCCAGCGGTTCTGCACAGACAAAAACTGAGTCTATGAACAGTGAAAAAAAATACATTGTATCTCTGGGAAGAACCAAAAAATAAGTCATATAAAAGATAGTCTTAGAAGAAATACTGTTGCTGTATTAAAATGCTATTAATATATTTCAAATGTCTTATAATCTATTGAAACATATGCATGTCGTTTTAATAGAACTATATATCATTATATACATATAATTACAATGTATATTGTACCTACGATTATACATCATGTAATTAAATGTGTGTGTGTGTGTGTGTGTGTGTGTGTGTGTGTGTGTATGACAATAATATAACCAAAAGGGCAGTGGTATATTGTTATATTCTCTAAATATCGTATCAATGGTATGCATTTTGGCTCACATTTGGCAGTTATCATTAGCTATTATGAAGCAGTGAAATATACCGGAGATAGTAAATCAGCCTTATAGTTAAAAACAACGGCAACATTTTATTTTTTACATGACCGCGTTCCATCACCCAACACTCACTTGCATTTCATTGCCTCATTTATCTGAATTTCTGTTTAAATATCTGGAAATGTTCTAGAGATTAGGGTTATTTTCCAGAGTCTGGCTCAGTGCCTGTGCATGTTTATAATATTAGCAATCTATTTTTTAAATTACTTTTAGAATTCTTTGTTTATGAATCTGACATGATGAATTTACTTTTTAAATTGTTTGGGAATCACTCCAGGTACAGATACGGGAAAAGTTTGAATAGTAGTGGAACAATTAACCACCAGCTATGTTTTAGATTTAAAATGCTTTCTACTTTATTAAATTTACATCGGATAATTAATCCATTGTCATTTTATCATCAGCTGCCTATCATTTCCCTTAAGTGTTCAGCAGGGACACTTGGCTCCAGCAATGGTTCCTTACAAGAATAAGAAAATGTCATTGTTATTGGATTTATTTTGTAATCTAGATCAAAGGTTGGAAAATATTTAAGAAATCTCAGTATCTTTACTATCTTAACTAGCAACAAATATGTATGGCATGTATATCTTCTAACTGATGTGCAAAATAAATGACTTAATATCTTTGCATTAAAAAAAAACTAACAATCTAATAGATTTAAAAGTATCAAATAATTTAATCTACTAGATTAAGGTTTAGAGAGACAAGCTGTGCCTTCCTTATTTGAATTTCTAGTACTTTCACACTGAATTTATATCAGAAGACTATTTGTATAGCATGTCAGTTAAACTAATTGTGTTCTAAAAATTCTCAGATGCTTACACCCACATGCATACGACTTTTGAACTTATCACCATGTGTTTATGATAATATGCTCAGCACAGAAATTGGAGTCTGGAAGTTTTTCTGCTCTGCCACTAATGCTGTGGCTTTGAAAGTCACTTCTATTTTCTGAACTTAGTTTCTTAGTTTTTGGGCAAGATGGTTGCTGAAACTCTTTTTGTTTCCAAGTCTGTTATGTTGTTGTCCCCATTAGTATCAAAGGACGTGACCTGTCTACATGATGCTACTATTTGTTATCATAGAATCCAGATCAGCTTTCTAAAACATGCTCTCTGAGGGCTTTTTAGTTGTCATTCGGGCATATTTAGATGCATTTATGGAAAACCTAGCTAATTGTTCTTGTGTGTGACTCCCTATCTACTTTACATCTGGGGACATAGGTAATACCAGAGAAAGGTAGTGAGGGAAAAGCACTTTAGAAATACTGGGGAAAATGTCACTTTCAAATTATCTTTCTGGATGGGTTATCTTCTAGGTATAGTCAATTTCTTGATTCTTTTTCACAAGAAAATGCTATCATGCCATGGTCTAAAAATTGGTCTTTTACTTTACCCACAAAAGATCAAAGGTAAGATAAACAATGAAGAATACACTCCCTCAGGATCTTTTCTCGTAACTAAATTCTACTTTCCTCAAGAGAGAGTTTCTTTCTCAGATATCTAGTCACAAAAGATTCTGAGGCATACAGATCAGAGTTAAAAACTGACCAGCTACCCCATTCCTTGATGATGTTTGTATATTTATAAATAATTCATGATTATCATTCAGAGTAGGCTTGTTGGCATTTTTCAAAAGCATGGGAGAAATATACAGAATTTCCATTTGCACTGAAAAAAATCTTTTCCCAAGAAATCACTCAGTTGCTCTGCTTCCACGTCAGAATAGAACCATTAACAATGTTAAGACAAGTCTCTGTAGAACAAATGTTCTGTGCAACTATTGGGCAAGTGACTCGAACTATTGGCCATATAACTTTTTATAATCTTACATCAGCAACGTTCAACCCTCTCTATAGCAAAGTGTGTCAAAACCTGTGAAGTCATTGCTGTTTAGTACATGATGAACATACTTGCTTTTAGTTAGGATAAAGGCAAATTAGGATAAAGGCAAATTAGACTATTAAAGGGAAATTATCCTGTTCAGTTACCCCCAAGCCCATAAAATTAAATGTTTCTACAGCTCTTTTATAAACATCTAAACACAATCTGATTTAAATATACTCTATTTTTTTAATGAAAATCTTTTTTGGTTGTTATTTTCCACTGTTAAGTGAATTTAGTATTAATTTATTAATTTCACTATAATTTATTTCCTCCTGAGCGTAAAATTGCATATGTCTTCATATAGGAGGATGACATGGCTTCAGTATGGAGATGATAAGTGAAAAACTGTTTGCTTCTATTAAGTGAAATAGACATTGCTAGCCATGTGCTTTGGACAAGTAATTGACTTCTTTTATGTTAATCTTTGTAGTATGTGAACACATATTCCTTCCTAAATATTATGAGATGCATCAATACGGCATAGTAGTATAAAATATAGGCCCTGGTATATTGGGTTGTTTAAATTCAAATTCAATGCTAGCTCTTTCACCTGCTGCGTGATTCAGAACAAATTCCTTAACCTCTGTGTGCCTCAATTTACTTGTCTGAAAAAGGGCCAATTAATATAGCACCTACCTCATACATAGGGTTAATTGATTAGTTAATTCAGGTACTTAGCATTAACTTCACCTAGTGTCTAACAAGAAATGAGCAATTAGTAGCTGTATTATTATTATTATTATAGTTAGTAATAGTATTAATAAGGTGTTTTTTTAAGATTAAGGCATAGTATATATAAATATAATGCAAAGACAAAAAGAAAAACTGCTGTTGTCATGCTCCCTGAACAAAGGAGTGTTGAGAAATGAGGGGGATCCTTCAGTTAGTGGCTTTTTCCCATTCTACTGAATAGTATCTTGTCTATAAAGCCTGATATTCACATTTTAAGATAAAGTAAGACCCAGAGCAGAACAAAGTGCTTATTACACTTTCCACACTTCTTCCAGTGTTCTCAAGAGGGATCTTTATGTAGATACATAGGAGCCTTTAGGATACCAAACATTCAAGATGTTACCCTACAGCTAGACACCAAATGATTGTGTAGAGCGATAGTCAGGTGCAGGCTGAATTATTCATTCTTTATGTGAAAAATCAGACTTCATATGAATATTCCTTAAACTTAATTTCTCTTGTCCCTCCTTCACCTGAATAAGGATATTATCATGGGTGAGACAGCTGGAAATATAATGAATAAAGAAAACAAAAAGGGATCTTTCATCATACCATAGTTCTACTCAGAGAACCAAAGCAAAACAAGAGGTTATCTCCAGCAGTCATATCGATTACTTGCAGAACATATTTCTGAAGTCCTGCTTCATTGTCCAGATGAAATATATTTACATAAGAGTTAAGCCAAGTAGCAAGTCATATTATTTGGCTTATGTCCTAAGTGAAATATAATGAAAAATAATTAAATCAATAACTGGCAAATTATCTAAAATGACAGGAAAATGATATAGGGCATAAACAAACAATTACATAAACAAATGGGCAGTTTTCAAAAGGGGAGGCACCTTCCTCTGTCCCTCCAATGCTTAACTACCTAGTTATGTCCAGTAATACCACCACAAACACTTTTTTTTTGAGAGGACATCTCTCATATTTATTGATCAAATGGTTGTTAACAACAATAAAATTCTGTATAGGGGAGTCAATGCTCAATGCACAATCATTAATCCACCCCAAGCTTAATTCTCAACAGTCTCCAATCTTCTGAAGCATAATGAACAAGTTCTTACATGGTGAACAAATTCTTACATAGTGAATAAGTTCTTACATGGTGAACAGTGCAAGGGCAGTCATCACAGAAACTTTCGGTTTTGATCACGCATTATGAATTATAAACAATCAGGTCAAATATGAATATTTGTTTGATTTTTATACTTGATTTATATGTGAATCCCACATTTCTCCCTTATTATTATCATTATTATTTTTTAAATAAAATGCTGAAGCACCACATACACTTTTTGTTCTATGAATTCTATATATTTCTGAGTATAAAATAGAAGAATTGGCAACTCATAAAAAAAATATAATAAAAAGTCAAGAACTAAAGACTACGCCCATTGTTACAGATATGCAAAAGGCTTTATTTACCTAAAGTAAATATATAAAATAATTTAGAATTCTAACAACTGGAAAGGCTTATTTTTATTTTATGATATGTGGATTCTCATGCCTTTTACTTTGATGCTGTATTTTTATTAAACATTAGGTATTTATCTTTTTCCTCTTTTTTCAATTTGTTTTTGTAATGCTACTTTCTATTTATGACTTGAAAAATAAATTTAAAAAATCATTATATTATGTGCCATAGGAGCTTCATGAAATATTTTCCCTGAACAATGTATTGGTTCTGCTTGGCTAACCTCTTTTTTCCTTAATGCCATCTCCTGGTGTGTATCATAAACATTTTGTATATTACACATATTTAGAATGTGGCTGCAAAAAATAGGATAACCCTGTGCTGTTTTTCTGTCCCTAGAGCCACAGACATGTACATTGAAAGATTTTCTCTGTGCCAATGGGGACTGTGTTCCTTCAAGGTTTTGGTGTGATGGAGATTTTGACTGTGCAGATGGCTCTGATGAGGTAGGCATCTTTGCAAAATCAAGCAAAAAGAAAGCAGTTCTTTAGAATCACATTTATAATTGTTATTATTCAAGCCAATGAGTGCAACATGGACAGCTCTGAAATGCACTTTGCTCCTGACACACTGAGATAAGTAGTATTACATCTATGTGCTGTGCAGCACACACCCAGCACAGGGAATAGCTCTTGTACTGCTATTGACAGTTAATTTTATAGTCTGTTTTACCTCAAGTGGTGAATGGCTGGGTTGGGAATAAAATGTTTGGAAATGCTATTCCCTATAGCTGATGCCCTTGCCATCTGTGAATTTGTTCATAAATTTGCTGCAGTATTTATATTCAGGACTAATATTTTTATGCATTTTAAACAGTTTCTTCTCCTGAGTCTCTTTCTTCAATGGATATAGTCATAGACGTCGATGTAAGTCATCAATTTTCATGAAACCACAGGTTCAGCTTTGCTTAGTTCATGAATCACATCCATTTATAATAAGTCCTATGTACACACAGCTTAAGTGAAAAAGTTTAGAATTTCTCTGGATAATTCTATGAACTTAGATTGTTAGATTGTGTTACCATTTGTCAGACTTCACATAATTCACTGTCTATGCATCTATGCATTTGTGTTTCAGCTATTAATTACTCCATGGAGCTTTAAAAGTGACACATGGTTATATTTTTCTCAATCAAATCTAAAATGACCCTAAACCTTCACTTTCCAATAACAGAGAAAAGTCCATAATGGTTACTTTTCATGGCTTTCTCTTTTATTGATCTCCCATGTTATTATCAGGGACATAGCATGTGTACAATCAAGTCTAATCAGAAATGAAAGAAAAATGAGGTCTTGGGTCCTCAGTGGCACCCTAGCTCCTTCTAGGTTTCATCAGCTTCTTTGAACCAGCTCTGCTCTTCTGGTTGACAAGCACATGTATTTACCCCTCATGAAGTTCTTCCCACTGACTATAGGTTCAACTAAAGAGACTCTTTCCTGATGCTCTAGTTTCAGGCTAATTTCCTCGGGTATCCACTGAGTTTTTGCCTCTTTGGAAAACACCATAGGTTTCTACTTCTTAGAGAAGCACACAAACTAGGTCATTCCCAGTCTTCAGGTATTCTTATCAGGACTGGAAAATTCTCCATTTACTCCCTGTCTTGGAAAGGTCCCCTAATCACATTCAGGAGCCTAGATTTAGAAAACAAACATGTTGACTTCTCTGCTAAAAGCCAGGAAACCTAAACCTTGAACTTGAAAAGATCTCTCAGAAGTTGAAAAATACCACTTCTATTCAGGGGTATTCATAAAACAAGTAAAACAAAATTTTAAAAAAACTCATAGAGGACCTAAAAATCTTGCACTGTCTAGATATGTATTTACTTAGTGTCCATTGATTCAAAAATTATATTAAACATTTCAGTTTTCATTTCATGTAAACTTATCCATACCATGAAAATGTTTTGTTTCTGTTTTCTTTAAAAAATTTATTCTACCAGCCCTATGTAATCTGTGAAACATGAAGAGGTGGGTATATATTGTTTAGGGTTTATGAGTTCATCTTGCATGTTATTTATGAGATGGCCTAGGTACATATGCAGAATCAAACACTTCCTTTTCAAAACTCTTGTTCGTGTGAAAATAGGTATCTTATTAACACCATTTTCCTCATGCCATTAAGTTCGTGGATATAGTGACTGACTGTATCTCCATTATCCAGACATTTTCATGAATGCCCCTAGAGAATGAAATTAACTCTCTTAAAGGTGGCCTTTCTCTGTACTTACAGACATTCAGTCTCCATGTACTGAGGTGGTTAATACTATGGGCAGTTGATTTTTATTTTCTTTCTAAAGGCTAAATTGATAGATTGAACTGACAAAAACGAAAGAGACAGACAATAAAAAGATGAACTGAACAAATGTCTGGAAAACAGAATTACCTATGAGATGCTCTCATATTAGAAACAAAAGGGAAAATTGTCAGGATAAGTATTTGTATGAATGTTACCTGATAATATAATTCACTTGCTAATATCCAGCTAAAACAATTAAAAAAAAACTTGAATCATTTTAAGTGTGTATCAAGTTATTGGCAGAAATAGAGAAGAATTATTTAAAGTGAGTTTAAAATATGGTATTTGGCCTCTGAGTCCAGTATAATAAATTATCAGGACAAAAAGAATGCAAAGGACTCTTAACCTGTATTCATAGACTTTTTGTTAATAATGATATTGGTTTTATTAGTTTGAAAATCATGTATATTGAGAGTAGGATAGTTCAACTGCTTAATTATTTTAATGTTATTATCACTCAAAAATGTTAAATAAAAGAAGGGAGGTACAAATGTAGAAGCAAAGAAAGTAAATAAAAATCCTGTAATGTTAAATTCAAACTTATCAGTGAGAGATCTCACTTTATCTTTCTAAAAATATACAATTCTTAGCTCTGCCACTGAAAATTCCTAAAACAAATCACATCCCAGCATTAAAGACTATCCCTAGAATTCACATAATGACCTCCAAATACCATTTGCCACTTAAAGGAAATGAAATTCCTCTGAAAAATGTCTAATTCTAGGTCTGAGAAAAGAAATTGACAAAAAGAGCTGCTAACATTTTATCAAGCCAGAAAACAAGACCATTAGAATTATAGTGTGCAGAGTACATAGGAGCTTTCCATCAGGGTTTCCACTGATGAAAGGGACAGTTTGAACATTAGAAAGAAAATGACTATAATGGATGAAAATGCAATAAATGTATAAAAATACATGAGTTCATAATAATACTTTAAAAAATAAAAAGCTAATAAGTCACTTTAGAGGTTATTAACATTCTTAGGAATCGATCAACCAAATTCAGAATGTGGGACATTCTGTAGAACAGAATGACCTGGTCTCTTCAAATAGTAAATGACATTTAAGAAAATTAGGAAAACAGAAAATAGGTATACCTTTAAAGAAACTTAAACCAAATTCAATGTATAAACTTTTAGGTCCTTATTTTACCAAACAACATTTTTATATATTTAAGATTATGAGGAAATTTTAGGTATGGATTAGGAATATCTTAATACTAAAGAACTTTTATTAATTTTATGATACTGTTAATATTCTGATACTATTGTCCTTATGTTAAATAGTCCTGAATATAAAAAAGTGGGAAGAAGGATGTATGAAACATGAATAATGAAGTGTTGATAATTGTTAAACAGGCATGATAACCACAAGGGTTTCCTTATTCTATTTTTCTGTATATTTTTAAGTATCTAAAATAATAATTGAATATCCCCCAGGTATCAACCACATGTATACATATCAGCTATACTGCAATTTATTGTATAGATCAAAATTTTCTGATGATAGAAAAAGTGTATAGAAGTAACACCTTCTGAAGATGAAAGTATCTAGAAGACACACCAATGCTATGGCTTACTCAGCTGTTTTCATTTAAATTAGCCTTATTGCTGACATAACCATTCATGAATTTTACCAATTATAGCAGCTATCATAATGGCACAGTATTAGATATTTAGTTCACAGACTGACATGGTCTCTATCCTCATGGAGCTCAATTACGTGAGATTGTAATTTATATTCCTTGTTTTCACATTTGCTATTTCATCCACTCATTCATTCATTTATTTGGCAATATTTATTGAGTGCTTACTATGTCTGAGCACAGTACTGAGCATGGGGGAGAAAAAAGCATGAAATCCTTTCTCATGATGAGCACATGGGTTATTTCTCCAGTGTCTTTTACACCATTCACATTACATAGCTTACCTGTCAGATATGCCACATTTCTAATTATCCTTACACTTGAAAAGCCTTTTCTTAGATAGTCCCACTTCTCTTTAAACTTTCTCTGTGAAGTCTTTCCTGGAAACCTTAAGAATCCATATGTTTAAAACCATAGCCATTTATTTTCACAGCTAATGTATTTTATTGCAATTGTTGATCTAAGTGTTGGTCTTTCCTATTCGTCTATGAATTTATCAAATACAGGAGTAAGTCTAGTTTTCTTTATATTCTTATTTAAGAAACTCTGGCCAATACTAAACCCTCAATACTTGGAAAAGAAGGGAAGAAAAAAGGAAGGATAAAAAAATATATAGTAGGCAGTCTAATTAAACTGTCATTAACAAAGAAAATTAGAGAAATCTGGACAGTAAATTCTCCTTCTTCACATGGAGATTAAACTAGGAAGAAGGAGGGAGTAATAGTTCACCAGGCTTCACTCACTGGGAGTTTCACAAGCTGTGAGTGTTGCCCCCTTTGTGGAAGGAGAAGGCAAGTACATTTTGGCAACAATAGAAATTGCTCAACAATAGAAATTGCTCAACAATAGAAAAGCATCATTCCAGCAAGACCTTTCACTGGGGCACCCCATTTCGGCCAGCCTGGTAGGTCTCAAGGGAGATAAATTTCTAGTGGATCCCTTCCATTGATCTGATAGAAAGAACTGAAAGGCCCTTAAAGGTACATCCACTCTCTTGTTTGACTTCCAAAGACAATCTATATGCGAGCTAGCAGAAGTGACCATTGTGACATTTCACTTCAAGTTCTTTAGGAACAAATGTCAAAACAGAGAAGAAGGATTATTAACAGCAACTAAACTGTAAAAGGACAGGAACAGAGGGAGAGAGATGGGGAGAAGGGAAACAAGAGACACTGGGGGAAGTGTTGCCAAGGCAAAATAAATTTGCCCTAGAATTCTTGCTCCACGGTCATCCTTCCACCCTGCTCCCAATGGACTAGATATCAGAAACTTGCTTAGAAACAAACTCTGTGAAGTCTTTCCTGGAAACCTTAAGAATCCATATGTTTAAAACCATAGCCATTTATTTTCACAGCTAATGTATTTTATTGCAATTGTTGATCTAAGTGTTGGTCTTTCCTATTCGTCTATGAATTTATCAAATACAGGAGTAAGTCTAGTTTTCTTTATATTCTTATTTAAGAAACTCTGGCCAATACTAAACCCTCAATACTTGGAAAAGAAGGGAAGAAAAAAGGAAGGATAAAAAAATATATAGTAGGCAGTCTAATTAAACTGTCATTAACAAAGAAAATTAGAGAAATCTGGACAGTAAATTCTCCTTCTTCACATGGAGATTAAACTAGGAAGAAGGAGGGAGTAATAGTTCACCAGGCTTCACTCACTGGGAGTTTCACAAGCTGTGAGTGTTGCCCCCTTTGTGGAAGGAGAAGGCAAGTACATTTTGGCAACAATAGAAATTGCTCAACAATAGAAAAGCATCATTCCAGCAAGACCTTTCACTGGGGCACCCCATTTCGGCCAGCCTGGTAGGTCTCAAGGGAGATAAATTTCTAGTGGATCCCTTCCATTGATCTGATAGAAAGAACTGAAAGGCCCTTAAAGGTACATCCACTCTCTTGTTTGACTTCCAAAGACAATCTATATGCGAGCTAGCAGAAGTGACCATTGTGACATTTCACTTCAAGTTCTTTAGGAACAAATGTCAAAACAGAGAAGAAGGATTATTAACAGCAACTAAACTGTAAAAGGACAGGAACAGAGGGAGAGAGATGGGGAGAAGGGAAACAAGAGACACTGGGGGAAGTGTTGCCAAGGCAAAATAAATTTGCCCTAGAATTCTTGCTCCACGGTCATCCTTCCACCCTGCTCCCAATGGACTAGATATCAGAAACTTGCTTAGAAACAATTTTTATCCCATTTATTTCCCCATACTATTTATTCATTGTCACCTACAATTATTAAAATCATATTACCCCACAACTGCCTGTTAGAAAATGGCCCACTTGGAGCAATTTAATTAATATAATAAACTCTTGGGAATTATGCTCATTTTACCTTTTTCAGTTTTATGATGACTCACAGAGATAAATGAAAATGCAAAAATCTTATAATTTTGTCATGCAGACATAGCCTTAACTATGACCATCTGAGCTTCTTATTTGTGGTGGACATGGATTCTACACTTTCAGGTTTCTTTGCACAAGGTTTCTACTTGTCTTTTGCGTTTGCAGACATTTCTCCTAAAGTTTAATTTTAATTATGTCTGTGTGCTTTGAACAGAGAAATTGTGAAACAAGTTGTTCCAAAGATCAGTTTCAGTGTTCCAATGGTCAGTGTATACCCTCAAAATGGACATGCGACAGCCACGAAGATTGTAAATATGGAGACGATGAGAAAAACTGTGAGCCAGGTAAAGTGATTGAGGTGATTTTTAGTTTAGCTGGTAGTTAATTTGACAGAATTTTAGCTTAAGCAATAACATCCAGAACAAAACAGCAAAAAAACAAAAAAAAAACTGGCAAAAAGTATTTACTGCTTCTCAGGAATAATGTGAAATATCTGTGGATAAATTAAGTGGTGTGCCCTACACACACATTTCAAAAGTGTTTTGGCAGGTAATAGCATCACTACATTTGGCATCCAAGTTTTACTTCCCCAAATTCAATTTTCTGATTTCTGCATCTTTCCACACCATTTGCAATTGTTTTTCCAAAACAGCAAGATGTAATATGTAGAAACTGTGAGTATGTTAAAAGTCAGGTTTTCAGTTTGGGAAATTAAGGTTATGAAACCAAATGTAGTAGCTTTAACATGGCACCAACTGAGAAAAAGCATACGTGTATTATTTCTATTTGCATCTTGGCCCAAAATCAAAATAAAATTAGGAAGCAAAACTAGAATATAGGAGAAAACACCCAATTTATGCATTTTTATTTCTTAAGTATAGCTTTATAAATATGCTTATTAAAACTTAATTTTATACTTAGATATTTTAATAATATCTTACAGAAAAAAATTACTGGGGAAAAATCTGTGTATAACCACAAAAACAGTACTTTGAGAAACTAGGTTAGAATAACAGATACAAGGCACACACATTACCATGTGCCAGTATTTCGCCCATGGTCCATATTGCTCACTGATCACATCTTTTTTCTTATTAAATCCAGACATGTTCTTAGAGTCCTTACTGATATAGATCCCTAGGCAAATACTACCAGTTAAAAAGAATTAAAACTCGAGGAAAAAGCTTTTTAGCATCCCTGAATTAAGCTATTGAGACCACGAAGTCATTATGTAAGTGTGTTTGGCTACCTAGTGGTCTAAGATAAGGCCAAGAATCCTGGAGGTATGAATGCCAGCCTAGCAAAGTCAAACCCACAGACAAAGGCACCTATCATATTCTTTGTCAATGAGATTGGGTACTAGTAATAACTTATCTATTTACATGATTTTTATTTTCTGTATCATTAAGGAGTACTTCAAAGTCTATAGACTATGTTAATTATATATACAATTTTATATTGTCCATTTAAAACCTCAAGCAAAAATACTTATTAAAACTTATGCAAATATGACATTTATGTCAGCACAGCTAAATAGATGATCACAGGGTCTATGAGGTCATGGCAAGATTTCCATTTTTAACTTTATATAATGTATATATGAATTAACATTCCCAAGGATTACTAAATCATATTATAGTTTTGAAAATAATTTGAGACTTTTGTCTCTTAAATAATTTAATTTAAAATTATGAAAAAAATTGCTTAACTCTTCAAAATCAAAGGAATAAAAGATATAGATTTTTTCCACTTCTCCTTTAGTTAGTTGAATACAGACTCAACAAACTATTATATCATTGGGGGATATTAAATATAATACAATAATATTGGACAGCACATTTTAAATGAATGTTTTTTGTCAGATGTTGAACATGTTTCACATAACCTAAACTCTCTTCATTACTATCTATGAATGTTTTATATACTTATGTATGCTTCTATCTATGAAACCAGCCTTTTTTCTTCTTTCACTGAATCTAAATCTCATCTTTATAATTTTATTCAGCTTCTCCTACTTGCTCATCAAGTGAATATATATGTGCCAGCAGAGGATGTATTCCAGCATCTTTGAAATGTAATGGAGAATATGATTGCTCTGATGGTTCAGATGAGGTAAAGTCATTTGATTAAAATCTCTGAATTACTAGAATTAGGTTTGGGAAAGCAAATGTAATGAAAATAGAGTAAAGAGACAGAATCTTGATTTTTAGCACTGTCTAAAATGTTAGGCCAAGTACATTGAATACAGTAATTTCAGCAAATACCTGAATCTTCATGCTGTCCATATTCTAAACTCCATTGTCATTTGTAGAGGTTATATCCATTAAATCCAACATAAAAGAAAGTGCACAGTCTAATAAATCCCCTGTAGTGTCAGCTGCATGTTTACTTTGCCTGTGACTGTATCGTGGTCGTTAATGAAAACTGCAGTGCCCATTTGTATTCGAACAGATGGACTGTGTGAATGAATGCAAGGAGGCTCAGTTTCGGTGCAGAAATAAAGCCCACTGTATTCCAATTAGATGGATTTGTGATGGAATTCATGACTGTGTGGACGGCAGTGATGAAGAGAACTGTGACCGGGGTAAGGGATTTGTGTGTGTGCCTGGAAATAAGAGAATGGCAATTAAAGAGCTGTGCAGGATAGATAGTGTTGTAGAGGCAGAGGAGAAGATTGGTAAATGATTCTCTTCACTCTCACTAGTTTCATTACATAATAGCCTGTTCTACACAAGCAAAATCTGGGCCATTTTCAGTCAGTGTAATGCCAACCTTCATATGACAAAGGCAGCCAGTGTTTACTGAGTGCCACCGTGGGCACATCCCAGCACCAGCTGCTCGGTCAGGCCGGGGGTAAGAGGACGCAGGGAGCATAGCTACGATAGCCACTCCTACAAAAGTATTGTCTCTGTATGTTCCACACTGCTTGCCTTCCTGTGAAATAATAGAAACAACATACCCTTCACTGTATTACACATTCTACTGTGCTAGATCTTATGTAGGTTATAGGTTGTGCCTTTAATTTCCTTCTTGCCATATGGTTGAGAAAATGACCTGAATGTTTCGTCAGTCTGGAAGATAACTTTCAGTTTTGTAGTTTATTATTTTCCAGCTATGTGAAAATACTTCATGACAGATAACAACTTTTAAGTTGTAAGTTGCCACATTAAAAGCAACAATTGTTACTAAAGTTAATGAGTTGAAAGCAAAGAAATTGTGGGGTGAAGCTTAAGAAGACAACAAATCATATAATTCTTGTTATTTTCATACTGTTGAATACTTTACTTAAATACAAAATTTCTTTCAACTTGTTTACCAAAGTTCCTCCTTGGATTTTATGTTTCAGAATATTTGGAACATCATCAACAGAAATGATACCCAATATTGACATGTTGCAAGACATTTGAACACGCACTCAAGATTTACACTGTTTAAATCTGTCTGAAATATTTATATCTGTAAATATCTAGTCACTCAAGGAAAATATCTTCTCCTTTAATATTAAATCAAACCTTCATGATTTGTTAATGTCTCACTCTTAAACCTGATAGAATGTTTTGTTCAGCAGAAGAAATCCTAGTTTTCATCTGGAATCTACAGGCATTATAGGGAGCCATAAAAAGCTAAGACTTCCATAATAGTTCTTTCTACTTTAGGTTAAATTCTCACACTCCTGCAATTTGTTATTCTAGGGACAGCAAACTTTGTGGATGTTCTGGTACCAAAGCTCTTACATACAGTCTTATATTAAAAAACGTTGAAACAGAAATTATGTGACTCATCTTTTAACTAAACCTTAGTCACTCTTGTCACCAGTTAGAATCTCTCCTCTATTCCTTCTTTCCTGGGCTCATGTAATTCCATCTAACTGGTCTCCAGGATATCCTACTGACTGCTTCCAAATTCATCTGATTTCAGTGTAACTCTGATTATGTCAAATATTACCCAAAGCTCTTCCTTCCTGATTATATACAAATAACTTAACCTGGCAATCAGAATTACAAGGGAAGGATCTCATTTTTACCTTCCCAGACTTATTATCACTCCTCTTTATATATCATATACCCTAGCCAAACTGGAAGATAAAATCTAGCAATATCATCCATGCTTCTCAACATCTTCCCTGATTCTTCTGCTAATTTCCCCATCTCAATACCTTTGCTAATAAAAGTTATATTTATCCTTTCAGGTCCATCTCAGTTACTTCTGCCTTTAATCAAATTTCAGTCTTCTTTGGAGTTTCCATAGCAACCCTTTGATTGCATTCCTGTTATCATATTCTTCCTTCTAATATAATTAGTTTTGTGTTGACTAAGTTTCCCTTGTTGCAATATGAGTTACCTGATGTGAAAAAATTAAGTATGCAAATGAATAAGGAAATACATTCCAGGCAGTGGGATCCTTATGTATGAAGTCACAAAGGTGGGAGAAATTTTAGCTGATTAGAGATCACAAATAATTGAGAATTTATGCTATAGAAGTTGGTTTAATATTAGGCATAATGAGAAATTATCCAAGGCTTTTAAGCAGTCTTTAAATATTTTGAAAAAAAGGAAAGGATGAGAGAATTTGAATTATGTAATAGCACAGAGAATTTAATAAAATTATCAATAAGAGATCTAGTTTCTTGCCTCAGACTCTTTCTATGCTCATTTTTTTTCATACTATCAAAGCCAACAACAGTTAAATGTCTCCAAGAGCTATAGAAATCTCTGGAAAGTGTGTGTGTGTGTGTGTGTGTGTGTGTGTGTGT